CTCGAGGATTAATGACACTATCCGAGTGATCTTTTAAACGATATTTGCGCGTTTGACCTACCCAGCAGTGTTCGCCCATCCTATCCTCAAGTGTGGCATCATATGCGTAGTCTGTTCGATGTGATCGACGGTGACTTCGAAGTACCACTTTTGGTACAGCGCCGAGTTTTCCACTCTGCCGACGAATATGTTCGGCCTGACACTGGCCACGTGATCGACCAATTGCGTTTGAAGCAAGAGATTCTTTCCTGGTAGTAGGAAATCGCAGATATTGTTCTGCGAAGATCGTACAGCGACGCCGTTACCCACGCAGAGCGAGCAAAGAACGTCCAAGACCTTTGGATCCCTGCCGTGTTTCTCCAGCAAGGAAATGATCACTTTAATGTGTTCGTCCTGCAAGGATCAGAAGTTTTATGGAAGCTCTTAGACTGCTGTCTTTTTAAATTTTTTGTCTGACCCGGTGCTTACTCTCATCATGTTTAAAGCTTCAGGCGAGTCGATAAGGACGCAGTGCAGCACGTCTAACATCCCCGTGCCCTCGCTAGAAGCTTGCGAACCCAACCGACTGAACAACCAATTTAAGCGATTGCTGTTGGCGAATTGGGCACAGTTCGTGTGATTTCCTTTGATAATAGCTGCCAATAGTTGATACAGGTATCCTGATATTTGATCCCAGGCTTGGCCACTCTCGTCACCCGACAGGGCCACGAGGAAACCTTGCGACGTGATCACGTTGATCTTGTCGATCGCTTCTAGGATCAAGTTCAGTATACCTTCTTCTTGGAACAGGTCCTGGCGATTTCTCAACGCTCGAAATCTGTTTTGTTTCTCCTCGTGCTCTGTATCAAACGTTGAATCGTATCATTCGTTAGTCTAGGATTGCTACAGATGATCGTTACGCTTCAGCTTACCCATGTCGTCTTCGGGTTGAGCAAAATAATTAATCAAGTCTTCCAGACACATCACCATTTCGTTGAGATTCACGATCTGGAAGAACATAGACGCTCACGGTCCTTTTAGCGATCTGCTTGTCCACGTTAATTTATCATTCGGTTTGCAACTGCTCTGTACGCATCCATCCAAGCCTCTACCATTTTTAATGTCACGTTTTAATATGACAGAAACGAAGTACGATCGAACGATAGACACTCACGTGATGAACTGGGTGAACAGACTGCTGCACTTTCTGATCACGCGAGCTGTTCGAGACTCTTCTTCTTGCGACCGGGAGAAGTCCAAACCGTCGTCCATCTTGCCTTCCTCGTGAAGCACGGCTTGCTTCTCCTCCACTTTACCCACGCCCTTTTTCTTCGTTTCGTACGACTGAGACATCGTGAAAATGAATATCAAACTCGATCCTTGACTTTAGAATTCAGACTTTGGAAATGAAATAGTCTCGAAATATACCTTGTACGAGACCCAGAGGCAAGTAGCAGCGTGTTGCATGATGACGGTCGAGTCGCCATATTTGATAATCGGTGTACCGATCACTTCGAGGTCCTTATCCTCGAGGACGATCTTTTGGTCGTCCTTCTCTTGCCTCAGCCAAAACGTCGACGTCTCTATCGACGCTTTGTTCCTTCGAGCATAAGATAAATTCATGCAAGTTAGCGATTATTTTTCGCGCCGCGTTCGACGTGACCCCTGAACTTTCCCCGATAATAAATACCAACCTATCGACCAGATATAGTTCGTTGTTTTCTTTCACATCGAGATACCGTCCGGTTGTCAGGTGTCTGATCCTCATTGGATGTAGCCAGTTGATGAAACCACCGGCCCATTTCGTCCTAGCCAGCTCTAGCCTCCATAGAGATCGGGCCTGGCTCATCACGCTTCCTCCCTCGTAGATCACTATGCTGTAAGCAACATATTAAGTACTGGAAGCCATACCCAGCGTTGGCCGTTCTAATCGAGTTATCCAGAGAAACGATTATCTCGATAGGCAATGGAAACAGCGATTCACGAAATAAAAAACCGGTAGTCTTTCTTCGATTAGACGTCTAGTTAGACTCGTCGACCAGGGGAGGATCGACTCTCTTCGACACTTACTTTTGATTCGGCGCCGTGCTCCATGTAGACGGGATAGTGAGGCATTCGTCGCCGCCGTGGAAAAATCGCAGAACGTCACCACCAAATACGTAACCGACGTATTTCATCCGGCTGATTCCGGTACCGTATGGTTGCACCGACCAATGGGTCACGTGGAACGAGGCGTTGACCACCGACTGTCCGTTTTCCTTCGTGGTGTGCTGAGGAAAGCAAACGAGATGAATATTCCAGGCGTCGAGTACTTTGACGAACGTGGGCAGTGGGCCAATAAAACACGGCCATCTTTTTCCTCTTTTTTAATTAACCCTTACGTCAATAACCGGGTGCCATTTAATATACCGCAGCTTCGAGGCACAAGGTTTTTAATATCCGGTCGAAATCCTAGTTATTGACACATTTTCTGTATTTCTTTACTTCGACGTTAGAATTTTCTTGCCCAAGAGAATTTCCTTGCACTAAAATTGGACGGCAACTCGAGCTATCCGTTTATTAGATAACTGCGAGCGCTCGAGGTGAATAAAATAATTACGCGAAGTTCCGCAGACAATCCGCGAAAATATTTCCTGCCCTGAATTATGCATCGACTCGCAAACTAAATTTCATACAGAAATAGCACGAACACTGGCCCGATACAGATTCTAGAAATACGGAAGCTAGAAGTAACCGTGACCTCAACGATTGTCGACGGAGAAATTACGTGGAAATCTCTCTATCGAAACAAACTTGCCAAGTAATAAGAAGAGCGATGTAGGAACTCGTCATAGTTGTACCCAAGTATCCGGGACACGGGTCAACGATGGAAGATCGACGCGTCTAGCTAACGCGATGGGGGTTGAACGACCGATAGATAGAGATGGTCGGAGATAAAATTTCTCTCGGATGAGCTATCTTTTACGTTGCTCGCTTACCAAGTATCTCTCGGTGGCCACGGATACCAGAATAAGGTCGTCACCGACTCGCACCTTCTCACCCTCGGACCTCTGTTTCGATGCTGGATGCACGGTCCACCAGCAGGCCTCGCCTAAACGATCAATCGGTTGTACATATACATAACCGCGACGGGCATTGATATCGGTTGTTATTAATTCGATCGCGTTCCTTCGGCTAACCTTGAGAATGCTGTTGCAGACCGACGTCGAAAGCCAACTTGTCGTTGGACGAGCTGGTCGATAAACACGCCAAATACTGTAAGAGAAGCGAGCGGTTAGTCGATCCTGTAAAAATAACGATCGGGAGATTTTTGCTCGTGTACCATGTCGCTGTTCAGGTGCCTCAGCAAAATGGCGTTGCCGTAGAGTAACGTCCTGTGGCCAGACCCGGTGCCTTTCCCCTAAAAGTTCGACAGAGATGTTGGAAAAATCGTAATAGGCGTACGCACAGAAGGCCTAAGATACACGAATAGATGGAAAGTGGATTAAAGAAGGAAGAAACATAATTGAAAGTACACAAGCATACCGATAAGAGAAGGCCATAAATAACGAATGTTAACGGATAAATGTGAACGGCAGGCGAACGTATTCATGCTCGTACGAACGGGAAAGTAAATGCGTAAATTGATTGCATGTTAATCGAACATAAAGAAAAGAACGCTGTCATAGATCGATGCGATCAGCTTACAAGTCCAACGTTACGTGTCAGCTTTAAACGTAAAATACGCAGATGCATAATCGAAATAAAGAAAGAATAAAAAAAAGAGAGAGAGAGAGAAAGAGAGAGGTATCGAACGTTCGACGAATGAGTAAGAGAAAAAGAAAAGAGAACGATAGAAGAACGAGTAGAAAGGGGGAATAGTAAAGAAAAGAAAGAAAAGAAAGAAAAGAACGCAAGCAAATGACGTTACTCACAAGCATGAACGTAAACGGTGTCTTTAGAGTGATACGGAAGGTATACTTACTAAATTTTCTTGCTGCTGCAAACAGAAACACAGGTGTTGTAATTCTCATCTTTTCGCTTTGCCAATCGTGAGTGGATAGAGAGAATGATAGACGAGAGAGAGAGAGAGAGAGAGAGAGAGAGAGAGAGAGAAAGAGAGAGTTCGGTGAACACGCCTACAATGTCGTTCGATAGGTAAAGTGTGTATGTGCGATTCCGAGTTACGCTTTTGGTGATTCGCGTGTCTTGCGATGAATTGCAACGCTTCAGTGTGGACGCAACAAAAATTGGACATATAAACATAAGGGACAAAAGACAATACGGACAAACGAAAGACAATTCGAGACGTGTTACACGACTACATGGACGCATGCCACAATTATTGGACAGGGGAACGTGCGGATGCATTCAGAAAATTCTTCCTCGTGTGCGTGTACAAAAGAGCGAAAAATGAGAGAGAAAAAATAAAAGTAAGAACGGCAGCTGGTGAGGAATTCATCCCATATTTGTCGGAAAAACAAGCCGGCCAGGCCGGAAACTGCCCGAGTGTCTACTTTCTAAGTGCATCGTTTGGTTTAGTTGGTATGCTCGTACAAAAAGGACGAAAAAATGCGACCAATGGTATTGATTAATCTCTCCTGCATACGATGCACGAGATCAAACAGACTTTATGGCCCACTCCTATGCAGGTGATTTACGTACAGAGGTCATTTACGTCGGCTAATCGATTTACGCACGATGCAGAGGATGGTCCTGTTCGTCGTGCGGGTGTAAAAGGTCGCCAAATGTTTGCGATAGTCGCGAACCTTGTGTCCTTGTCACGCGCAACGAAAAATCACGATTCCTGACGGAGATGTGACGCAAATGCGACGAGAGTGCGCAGGGAAACGGAAAAAATTGTCACGCAGAGTGTATGGGGTACACGGGAATTGCGATACAAGATGTCTCGTGACGAGAAACTTGCTAGAACGGTATTCACGGTGAAACAAGGGGATCATTGTTCATTGGTGTAGGATGATAAAGAATCGATACGTTACCGTCTCGGAACCGGCAGCGGTGACCAATTCCTGCAAGGCCCTCACCGAGAGAGCCTATTGTAACGGTATTCACGGTGAAACAAGGGGATCATTGTTCATTGGTGTAGGATGATAAAGAATCGGTACGTTACCGTCTCGGAACCGGCAGCGGTGACCAATTCCTGCAAGGCCCTCACCGAGAGAGCCTGCTCTATTACGAATACGCATTGCGACAGGTCAGGTGGTATGTTCTGCGATTGTAAACAAAATGGTCAACGTTAGACACTTATTCTGATCGAGTTGGCGAGTAATTGGGACTAAACAGCCGCTTCGACGAGCGACTACTTAATTCCAAATATTTACCTTGTCCGCGATATCCTCGAGGAAACAGTGTCGATTGCCAAACCCCTCGGCAGCGAGGCACACCCTTTCGCCGGTTGCGGTGCAGGACAGACATACCATGTCCTCCTGTAATTCCAATTCGATCGTTCAATTTAATTTCGCCTTCTTCCATGTTTACACGAAACATAAAACGAACGAAAGGTATCGCCGACAAACGCTGATCCGTTCTCTCTTTTTGCGTGCATAAAAATGGCGCGTTACGTCGAAGCACTAGTCGTCTCCGAGACGATCGAGTTAATAATCCGGTTTACAACGATCGTGTTTATAATCGAGGATCGACGACGCAACGATTGCGTCGCGAATTCGATTTTTGGACATGTCCGATGCTAGCTGTATTGTCGGCGTATCGGAACGAGCGTAGAATGGAGATCGCCATGGGCGGGAAAAGGTGTAGCTACGCTACTGGATCGATGGAAGGGTGTCGTAGCGGGGAAAGAAGGAGTTTTCGCGTTGGAAAAACGATTCATTGATGCGCTAGAAACACGAGGATCACAGCGGCGACCTTTGCGAAACGTTGAAATACGATGTGAGCCAAACGGCAGATGTTACGCCCAGTGCCAGAACCAATTTGGATCGTCTGAGGAATGCGCGGCACTGGTTTTACACGAGCATACCGGGAAACGCTTTGAAGACTTTCAAATCGGATTGTCGGGGGGAGCGATGCCACTGTTTTTACTACGCAAGCCTGAAAGCGTTACTTAATAAGCAGGAACAGCATTCTTCGGTACAAAACAACGGCTGCTCGTGAGTCATGGCACAGTCGAACGGGTTATTACGCGACCGAGGACACGCGAAACGCAGTTTCGTTTAAAATTATACGCTTGGGATAATTTTCGAAACAATCCCGACTGGTTTGGAAATGTCTTCTATGTAGGTCTATGTCGCTAAACGCGTGTCGCGAATGGAATGCGACGGACCACGCGATTACAGTCGCATCGCGTACAGTGTAGCCTGTTATTTTTAAATCACCATGTTACGATCGCGAACAGATTTAGAGTTTCGACCGGATGCGGACGGCTGATACGAGTTTCCACGTGTGCCACGTATCAGCGTACCGGGTGCAACCCGCGATCGGCTACTCGCGCGTGAACGTAATTGAACGACCGCGGGTATAATTGCGATCGACGATGGCCGGTGCAGCTCGCGAAATTCCGTGTCGTTTCTCAATTTGCCACGCGAACCACGCCGAGATCGACGTCGGTTCCGCTCCATTACTTTGCAGCGTATTTTTCACGCGGGTAAACGCTGCACGAATATCCGCTCGCAAACGCACCGCGGAACAGCACGAACGTCATGGGTCTCTCGAGCGACACGCGTCCCCGTGGGAATTAACATAACGCGTTACCGGGTTATTCGCGAAGGCACGCGACACTCGTTTCGACGCCAATTGCAGTCGCGATTCGGACTTGCGGGAAATCGAGGGAAACTCGGTTGGAAACGCGTCGACGAAACGTTCCATCGCGTTTCATCGTGGTCGTTGATCGGGGCGATGCAAGGATTTCCAGCGGAAAGGAATCGACCCGTGATAACGCGACCTTTAGTCAGCGATTCTTTCGCGACATTCCAACCGAACACGGCTGATCGTGCACGAGTAACGAACCTGATAAAGCAATTATTTCCGGTAGCCACGGAATGAAGCACGATCGAAGCTGCAACGTGTTGCAGACACGGGTCAAGGGTGTGTCTGCGATATATCGCAACGTCCGATAATCCTACGCGATTTCCTTCCAGCGAGTAGCAAACGTTGCATCTCTCGATCTACGTCGGAAATTGACGAATTATAATTGCTGTACGTGTCATGGATCCGATTAGGTCTCTGGATCGTTTATACCATGCATTTCATCGATGCTGCATTGATACGATTATAAATAACGAAAGGCATCTCGATCGAAACAACGACGTTAATTACCGGTTAATACCGTCATTCTACACCGGATGGAGTTCCCAGTAATCTACAGAATCGAGTAATTAACTCGAGATCCGCCAATCTTCGTCAATTCTACCAATTATCTCTGGACGTTTCGCAGGTGTTACGCTCTCTCCTGTTTTTACCTGTTGCGAGTTTTTCCGGTACAGGGTGTAATTATAAATCACGAGGGGTATCTCGATCGAAACAACAAACGACGTTAATTACCGATCGATATGGCTGTTCCACGGAGCTGCAGCTTTCAGCAATTTCCACGGCTCTTTAACAGCCACTCGTTCCATTAGAATCGCAGGGAAGCCCCGAGAATCGGCGCGAAACGTTAGCTATACATTGCCGTCCGCGTTGGGTCCGTATGTTAAGCGCGTTGTTAACACGAACGGCCGCTTTTCGACGTGGAATCTTTAACCAAGAGGTGCCTACTAGCCGTATTGATCATACGCAACAATGCAACGTCGATTGCTAAAATTAACTATCGCCGTGCTCTTAAAGACGAGAGCCGAGCATCTAGCAGCGGCGCTCGTTCGGCGGACACGCGGCCGATTTGTTATTATTACGTTTAATTATTTTTAATTACACGGCATCCATACGTCGCCGCTCGCCGGGACGAGGGTAAGCCAGCCGCGAAAGCGCGCGCGGTAATCTCGAGCGGCCGGCCGCGATGCCAACGGTTGTTGACTTAATTAATGACCATTGCAAACCCGCGAACCGCGCGCCGGTGACACGATTTTCTACGCGTCTTTGTACTCCACGAGGCGTCGCGAGTACTATGTTTATCGCCGAACGTTTTCATCGGCCGATCACGAAAATAACTTCCATCCGCTGGTACACGCTCCGCGCCCTCGCGAAATCATTTCGAACGAGTTGCGAGAGTTTCCGAGATTGGAAACAGCGAGAGATAGAGGAAAAGGGAAAAAAGGGAAAAAGAAAACAGGGGAGGAAAGTTGGAGAATCGAATTACGCTCCTATTTCCGTACTTGCTCGAGGGGCGAGGGAGAAATTGATTTACAGGGGGCTCGTTTCGTGCCAGGCAAGGCCAGCGATAATTTCGAGAAGATTACGTATATCTGTCCCCTGTTAAACGGATGAATGAAAGCGTCGTTATAAATTTCGCTTAATCCGATTGGATCGGTAAGTGGGTCGCGAAATGGAACTCGGGACGAAGTTATGATTAATAAAAAGATTAATGAAAATGTTGGGGGAGGGGTCCTCCACAAGGGAGGTTGTTGTTAGTCGATATTCTTGATGCAATGGTGGTGCTAGAAGGGAGAAAAGGCAAGAAGGAAGGGATGCATTTCGTTTTGGACCTGCTAGTGGACTCATCGGTATGGCTACCTAGCAGACCCTGGCTTAGATGCCATTATGCTATTGGAGAGTCTGGAAATTCTATATACGAGCCGTTCACTGCACAAATCGATTAACTCCATTTTATGAATAATCTTAAATTTAAGTGTCAAAGCACTTGGTATAGTCGTAACTTTTTATATTTATAATAAATTTCCCTGATAATTAAGATTAACACCATTAAACGACAAAGATTTTTTGGCTACTGAATAATGAATAATTTATTTCAGAGTTCACTTTGATTAACTCTGTACTCTAATGTAAATCGTTGCAATAATGCAACTCAAATGCACTAGCAAGCCATGAATGATAACGGTGAATTTTTTAGCGCCGTCTTATCAGAATTTAAGTAAAATTTAGTAAAATTTAAATTTATTACTTTTTTTCACTTGCCAAATCGATTAACCCTTCCAGTAACATAAAAATGGTAACATTACTAACGATTACCTTTTGGCTATTTTTCCTTACAAATTTTATATACCGTTAGACGAAAGTTACATTTGTATTTATGCATTATGAATTTTAAAAAACGATATACATTATTTCATTGCATTTCTCCACTTTTTGTTTCATGGAGTTAATCAATTTGCGCAATGAACGATTCCATATAGGAAATGAAAAATTTTTATCGAGGACTTCCTTCAAGTAGAAATCCACCAATTGCCAAGGGCGAGAATGATGCCCCCGTAAAGAAAAATTATGGATTCGATACCGGAATGATAAACGAAACGTGATCGTACCAATGCCTCGATATTTGCTATCGATCTCGCGAATATCGCGCGAACCTAGCCGATGGAAGCTTCAAATGTTTCCAGCCGTTTGGACATTTCGGATTTCGGCCATAGGTGTTAAATTTTTAAGTGAAATTTTATACTAAAAACATAAAAAAAGCATGGATGAACCTCTCCGGTGCGGGAATCTCAACGAAGAAAGGTGAGCAGGTTCGGATTCGTGTCGCGATAAATCGTTCATCCGGCGATCGAAGCGACTGCCGTCCTCGCGAGACGTGGTTGATCCTTCTTCAGGTTACTAGATCATTCTCCTCTAAATTTATATCGTCAGTCCAATTCGTTACCTAGCTCCTCCCCTCACGCGATTTCTCGTGCTCGATCTTAGCCTGTTCAGGGTTCTTGCTATTCAACGAAACGGTAATAAGAACGTCGTTGTGTCGCCTCGATCGAGACAATCGATTCGTGGCCTGGTTCTCGGTTGGAAAACGATCCACGATTATCTCGCGACGTTAAATTCCCTCGGTCGTAAACGTTTCTAATTCCTCCGGTATTTTTCTTTCCCTTCGGTCGACGAGTACTCGCAAAGACGCTATATACGCACGGCGGGACGGAAAAACGTGAAATTCGGAATCGATCGATGGCGTCGATTCATCCTTCGAGTCGAGTAAATGCATCCGGTTATGTTTCCCAGTCACGAACGCCGTTAGCAGTCGCTTAACGCCCTCGAGTGTACACAGATACGCGAGATATCGTACAATTTCATTAGCTTGTAATTTTCTTCGCTGGTCTTCCACGCGTCCGATCGAACGTGGCGCGTTTGAATGATAAAAGAAACGGGACAAGGGGAAGTAATTAGCGTCGGTTATTGCGATTCACGTTGAGGAAGACCCGCAGTTCGAGGTATGCCTTCGCGGCACGGTAATTTCCTCGGAGACCTTGGAACTTGGACGTCTCCTTTCCAGAAGCAGGGAGACGCGGTTCTTCGGAGATTCCTTCGACTTGTGGGTCACGAATGGTTTGCGTCATCGACTCCCTTTAGCGAAACCGCTCGAGTCAAAGGGAATTCTCGCTACTCCGCGAATTAGTAGACACTCAGCTTTGATATCAACGATGACCGTTCTCTCGATAGGAAAATATCGCAGCAGGATGACGAGCAAGGGAGGATCACCCCAGGTCTGCACCATCCGCCGTTGGACAGGGGTGGAAGAGGTTGTCGCAGGCGTCACACGAGAAGGGAGGCCAAGTGCATCTGCAAGCCACGCAAACGGAAGCGTACCAGGCTGTTCCTGTCGACTAATCCTTTCATCATCTTCTATCTGGAAATGTACTTCAAGAAACCTGGAAGACACGTGACGGTGGTGGCTCGCGAGGCCGGTAAAAAGTGGTGCGCTCTATTCCTGTCGACTAATCCTTTCATCATCTTCTATCTGGAAATGTACTTCAAGAAACCTGGAAGACACGTGACGGTGGTGGCTCGCGAGGCCGGAAAAAAGGGGTGCGCCCTTCCGGAAAAGTCGAAGGAAAAATACTACAAGCTCGCGGCTAGGGCGAGACGAGGATGCTCGAGAAGGAAATAGGTACTCGGGATAAACGAAGAGTCTGGTTCCCTCCGACTCGTGATACTCGGACGAGAGGCTGCAACGACAGAGGCTTCCGCGTATCAAAGCGACGAGTGTACCAAAGCAAGAGTCCGCCGTGGAAGAGGCGGGACGACGTCGAAGAGATACGAGTAAGAGTCGTATTATCGTGAAATCTAGGCGCCATATCGAAATTTCAATCGCGATCTTGTACTTTGTCTGTATCCTTATTCCCACGAAAAGTGTTTTGTTCTTTTCGAAACGAATACACGCTCGTTCTCGTGTCGTACAGCGAAACGTTGCTTCTCGTTATTGCTAGGAGGGTAGAGAAGAAAGGGGAGGGGGAAACGGAGAAAAATGGGAAAACGAAAGGAAGAAAAACTGCGAACGACGGTGGAAGGGAAGAAAGGGAATATGGAGGGAGGAGAAAATCGATGGACACGCGTGCCGATGTTGTTGGTTGACGGTGTTCCGATAACAGGACCGCGTGTATCGGTGAGATGTATTTTTACTAGAGGCAGGTATTAAAGAGTCGAGCTTCGAGCGTGTGCAGCTTACGGAAGCTCAAGGCTGTAGCTACCCTCTCGGTCACTATGTTACTGCTTGATCCTTGCGGGCTGAATGGGGTCAAGGTCGTTCGGCACGAGAACTTTAAGTGCTTCCACGATTCATTGAATTGCTCCCCCTGTGCTCGTCCTTTGCTACGGAAAATCGCGATTTTATGCAAGACGGATCCGCGACACACACAGGTGACAACAGCAGCGTAAACACCGCACGCGCCGCGGACGCTAACTTTGAACGCCTATCTGCGAAGCGGATTACGCCGCGGCTCGTTCCTCGTTTCCTACCATAAACTCGTTCCACCCTAAACGACCTTCCGTCTTACGGATTCGTCTCTCTTCGTGCAACTCGAGTCCCTCGACGATAACTCCGCGCGCTTTTACCCCGTTCCCACGTGATAAATCGAGAAGTCCGAGCTGGTTCGCGCGGAAATATCGCGTGATTCGTGCTTCGTTTAATATTCATCGAACGTTTCCCTCGTTGGATCAGCGTTTGCACGGTAGGCAAGTACAATCGAACGAACGAAACTGTTGCCTGTGTAAAAAAAGGCTGTCGCGTCATGCTCGATTGGCACGGATCTCGCTTAGGAGACCGCGATCGGGGAATTTTTTATTTTCACGATAAAATAATTTTTAGCGGAGCTAAGAAATTCGATGGAAATTACCCGAGTAGCGAGTAAAATGTGCAAAGACTCACCGTGCGGAGGAAGGATACGTCATCCTGCTCGGAGCCACCCTCGCTGTCAGCCATCCCGTCGGTACGTTTTCACGTAACCTGACGTCGAGCCCAGTTCACCGCCTCTCCCTCGCCTTATTTTCCACGCTCGTGGTATGGCCTGGTTCTCGGCAACGCTCGTCCAGCCTCGTAGTTAATAGGGCGCGGATGAACGGTCACACACGGTCACGATCCGACATGTTTCGTCTTCCGGTGGCACACACGGCTGCCGGTGCAGAACGTTTCGCGCTGGCCGACGACGAACACCACACCAGCACGGTGTCGACGACGTCCTAACCTCCGATGGTGCACCAATGATCAGCCACTACTGGCCGGATGGTAGCTCGCGCGAACCTCGACCGTCCCTGCGCAAGCGCCCGTTTCCTTCAATCAAATTCCGCATGCTCGAAATTCCGTCGTAGCAGAACACGACACACCGTACACCCCCTTTGTTGCCGCTTCCCTTTAACGGGCCAATCTGCTCATTTCGCCGCTTTAAGCAGCTTAAAATGGGTTACCCGTTCGAGATTTCCCGCATCTCCAGGGTTCAACGAATTCGTCGAGTTCGGCACTCTTCGAAGTTTCCAGGGCTCGAATATTTTGCGGATCGGAGGTCGCCGGGATTTGGAACACGGAGACGGAGACCGCCAGGCATTTTTCGCATTTGTTAGAAATTTTCCCCGAGGTATGACTCGAGATACGTGTAAGAGGTTATACGAGGGAATCGTTGGAACACTTACAGAGCTTGGAGATTTTCGAAGGAACGTTAGTCGGGTATTTAATTTCTCCGAGTGTTCGGGAAGACCTGGAAAATTGGAAACGCGAAGAATTTCTCGTTTCGAGGATCGATTCGAACGACCAACGCGGTGGAAATCCCAGGAGAAGGAAGTCTGTTTGGATTTTATAGCGTTTAATTGGCCGCCGGACAGAGGGAAGTAATTATCGTGACCTGGAACGTTGCTACCCCTCGTGCGTGTTTCGAAACTCGATACGCTTATGGTAATATCGAGTAAAAATTACGTTGAAAATCGCTGATTATTTTTACGATGGATCATTCACGGCTAATTAATCATCGTATGCCATACTTATAAATACGGTAATCACTGCTAATGGTCGCGTTGGTTACGACGGCGTCGGTACCACTGTTGTTAACGGTATTATCGGTTTTACTATTTACGTAATTGCCGTGACGATGCGTAAACGTGCGTCAATTATACCGTGAAACGCCGCAGCACGGAAACCCGTATATTTAGATGTAAATCTAACGGGTGACGGGTTTAAGTAAAAATAGTTTAGAGCAACCGGTGCACCCCCCGCGTTACTTCCGGTCTGACTTAAGGCATAACGATCTGACTCACTAGGACAAATTGCTCCCCTGTTGCATCGCGAGTCACGAAAACTGCGTCGAATTTATAGAGCGATACTGGCATAGGAGGCATAGACGTATCATCTCCCCGGCGAAAGGATTCCAAATCCGTGGAGAATTAATTCGCCGAGGGGTAAGGCCGGAATCGATTTACCCCGACACTTTCGATCGAGCACGGTTCTCCGACACGGTCGTTAAACGATACGGATCGATTAGCGAAATCGTCGGTCATCGTGGATGACAACGCAGCGACCGACGAGGATGACGCGAACGACGAGACACACTCCTCTCGCCGAACCTATTTCATTCTCGCGTCTATTTCCAGCAACCGAGCAGAAATAGATGCATTTACCACTCGCTTCTGCGAGGATCCGTGTGTGCGCTTGGCCGTGCCTATACTCGAATTAGAAATGGTAACGCGTTAATCGAAGGTTAAGGATATCGCGATGATCGTCGCGCGAGCCTCCGAGACACGATTGCCGAGAAATCGGGGGTGCGTACGAGCGACGTGGATCATCCGATAAATCACCGACGCGTTGCCGTGAACTGGCAACGGATCAACGGAAAATATTGTTCCCGTGCTAAATATTTCCTCTCGCTGAGAACAATTCTCGCCGAGCAGCAGCGAGAAAATACACTTTGTCATTGGGATGGAGCCGCCGCGCCGCGTCAATGTAATCGTCTCGGTGTTTCGCAATTTTGGAAATTCGTTGCCAGAATATATGCACACGTAGCGCGTGTCTAACGGATACCCCGAGCTCGATCTTCCGTTTGAAAAGCGACCGTGTCGGTATCACCATCGCGGGAACGTATCCGCGATTAAAACGGGCACAAACTTTCGAGAAGGCTGCCTGTGGCACGGATCGCGCCCATCCGTACGCAGCCACGCACACACTCTTCGATGCGTACCGTATGCAAATGCATCGAGGTCGATTGGTCTCCCGAGTGTCCGCAATGCAACCGGTAACCCACGCCGCATTACCTTCCAACCGCGCGCCTTTTCCTTTTTAGTTTTCCTCCTTTTTCCCTCTTTTCCTTTATTTCCTCCTTTTATTTCCTTTCGCTACTCCACTGCGCCGCGCGACAACCGAGTCGAACTGGCCTCGAAATTCACCTCGAGTACGAAACGCGACGAAGCGTGGGCTAAACTTCTTCTCCGTTCACTGTACGTTCGCGAAAACGGTCGGACACTCACTCTTGCTTGATATCGATATCCGGATCGACCTGGATCGAGCCAGGGGGTAGTTCGGTGGGCGATCGGGGTTGCTGGATGCTTCGTATCCTTCGTCGACGTTCGGGCCCCACCGACGAAATTCGTGTCGAGACTCGAGCGGTTCTGCCGGAGCACGGTGCCGAGCGGAATAGAGCGAGCGAGCGAGCGAGCGAGCGGCTCTCCGCGGCTATTTTCAGCCTCGAGCCGAGCCCGCGTTGGCTCTCCTCACGCGACGCGTCGCCGTTCCTACGCGGTGCACGCAAGACACACCGCGTCGCTCCGAGGGTGTCTCGCTATCTCGGTGTCGCTTCTCGCAATTGCGCGCAGAAAATCGAACGGTAAACGCTTGGAAAATCAAACCTTTTGTAATTTTGTACGAAGGCTTTTGTACTTTTTTCCCGCTCAAATTCCAGCGAGAATTCAATTTATTCTCGTATTCGAGGGGGGTGCGGTAACTTTGCTAACTGTGGTACCGGATAAGGGTGTTATTTATTATTCCAACGATTGAGATGGTCCTACGATTTCGTCATTTACCCTGACGTTGCCGCTAATGTTTGCCAAATACTCCTGTATCGAGGAAGGAATTCGATCGAAGCGTAGGAGTAACCACGACAGCGGTCGGGCGAAGCGTCTTCCATCGGAGCCACCCTTTCGGCCGCACCACCGACTGAGAGTAAACTCCGACGTTATTGATCGGCTTTGCCAGTTCCCGGCTGTTGGTATCCGCTCGCGTGTCTCTCCGCGTGTCTGCAGCGAGTAAGGTAGAATAGGATTCGACAGCCGGATCGTTTGTTTTTTATTTTTTAAGCGAGTGTAGATCGCGGCGCCAGAGGGCGAGGTAATTCAACGTCGCGTCTTGGAAAATAATTTTTTCCCGGAAAAGCGTTAAAATTCTGCGAATTTATTTATGGCGACACTCGATCTTTCCGTTTCGAGCGAATTAGTCAGGTACCGGGAGAAAATCGAGTATTTCGACGTCATCCCCCAAGTTACGCCGAACGCGATCTACGCGATCGAGACAGGCGTTGGGACCGCGATAAATCTCCTATTTCTGCCTGTTTTACACGACCTCGGTGCAGAGCTACCGGTTGATCGACTCGCTTTGATCGATGGTTATCGCAGATTTATTACTCGGCAGAAGAGAACTTGTTAAAATTCTCCCCGTGTGATAAATTCTTCCTGCACGGTATGAATTCTGCAGGACAGAGCGGGGAGAAGGGGTGTAACGAGTGGCAGCGAAACACCCGGCTATAGAAATTTCACGCGAAATGGAATTCATCCTAGTGTCGGGCGAGCACGATTCGCGACTTAACGCGACTCCGTGGCGTATACGTGGCGAGAAAACACGCGTCGCTTCTTGAATCCCTTCGAGTAGGTATACCTTGGAACGAGAGCTCGGAATAGAAGCTACGACGGGTACGGAGAATATCTGGAATATCCAGGTAATCGAACCGCAACAGGACTCTATTTCCGCGCCTGGATCTTAGCGGAATAAGGAGTCCCGATAAATCACGGGGAAATCTTGCTCCCAGGTCGAATTAAACGAACCCTCTGACCGAAATGGCAGCAGAGTCGAAGAAAGCACGGTCCGTGCAGACTCAAAATGCCAGTATCCGACCGTAAAATATCGTTGACAAATGGTCGGTCCGGGTCCTCGGCTTTCTCGCGATTCTTCCCGGAGCGGAGAGCAATAAGCCACGCGTCAAACGCGAGGAATTATCGACTTTATCTGTCCCTATCCCGCCGCCCTCCCTTTATAGCGTGTAGCGCGGCAAATACGCGGTGGCTTTTTATCGAATATGGCAAACTTACCTAGACAATAAATCGCCTTAACCTGACCCGAGTGATCCCTTTATTGCCGGGCCCTTCGAAACGAGGGAAGGTTCCGTAGGTTCGCTCTTTCCTGCTTCTTTCGCGCAAATAAATTTGCACCGACCGACCTGTACGCGTCGGAATCTGTCGGGAGGGAGCGTAATTTATTTTCACCCGTCTGCACCGAAGGCAATTGCATCATTTATATACGAACGCGGGACCCACCCAGGGGTGGAAACTTCGAATTAAAACCTTAACCCGGTCCCGAAGACCAAGATTCCGCTTCCACGCTAAGGGATGCTCGATTCGGCGTTTGCGCGATTCCGCGAGGAGGTGACTAGGGAGACCGAGGAATCGTTAATCGACCATCGTACGATTCGATACTCGCTGGTACTCGCGCAAGGGCCGTCACGTCGAACATGGCTTAAACGTCGTTCGAACTTATGAATAAGTATTTCTCGACGTCGCTGCGACCGGTACCCTCCGATGCATTTATTAATTGCGCTTCCGGCCAATGGACGGGAATATTTGATTCGATAAAATGGAAACGAATAAACGGGGAAATGTATAAATTGGCGGCAGCACTTTGGCGCGATCTACGCGCCCGGCGGAAATTCGCGTTTCATTTTTAGCCGAGCTTTTTCGAAATTAACATTCTACGACCAACGCGTCAAGTATTTACCTGTTGTGAAAGTTAATATTTTAGTGCGTTTGTTTGCGAATCGTCCCCGATTCACTGACAAATTTGCCGTCACGTCGGATGGAAGAGGAGGCAGAGCGTGCGACGGGAGAAGGAAAAAACTGGATGAAATTTACAAATATCGCGACGTCAGTGTACTTCGTTGATATTTAATTTACCGACGAACCAATATTATTTTTAAACGAGTTAAAACGAAATTGGTTTTGTTTATTGGACGGGCCCATATCGTCGGCGCGATGTCGTCGTACTTGCGGTTCAGATTCCCGCGCGGAATATCGCGTCGATTATATAAAGCAACGATTACCAGTTGGCGGTAGCAGGAGCGTGGGTTTTCGGAATGAAACTCGCGTTTCCCGAAACGGGAACAGGGGACATTTGCGTTTGGAAAATGGAAAGGAGGCGGGACCGTGTAGG